GAGAGAGAGAGAGAGAGAGAGAGAGAGGGGACTTTTTGGAAACTCGCCCCCTGTTGGGTGTTTCAGTTTAAGCATTAAAAGAAAATCCTAAACTTTTGTATCCCACAAAATCAATAAATTCCTCAACGAGGACTTCCCAAGCAGAACCAGATCTTTCCTTCTATTTTACAGCATGCCCAACAGAGAGTATCACATTTTTTTGACGTCTGAAAATAATGTAATCAGTAATGTCGAAGTGTCTAATCCTTTCAAAAGGTTCGATGACTCGTCTTGCACTGTGCATTGTTTGAGCTGGTGTTGGTTTCATCCGGCCTATTGTGAGCAGTTGAATGTGCGGAATTATGAACGAATGGGGAGATAAAAGGGTATACCCACAAGATAGCTATATAGAAGTCTGAAGGAAGGGTCGAATTGCATATGATGACGTGATGAACTGTAAGGAATTCTAATTCTCCACTTACGTCGAACATTTCCTTCACTCTGCAGCTAGGTGGCAGGAGAGAAAACACGCTATACTGTGTATCACGTAACATCATAGTTCTGTGAAATCGCTATTCTTAAGGTACAAAGGATGTTGATGGTGGATTCTGTTGTTATTCTTCACTTGTTAAGGGAAACAAAAGAAAAGAAATATAATATCATGTGGTACTTGGTTGAAATAGATACACGTTTTACACCTGATGCATTTCTCCAACGATATGCCTTTTCTAAAAAAAACAACAAACAACAACAAACAAACAATCCCGTTATCTCTCTGTCGTGGATCTAGCCTGTCAATCACTTGTACTGTTGGTGTGTTATTGTACGCCGAGGATGAACTTGTATTACTATGATATTAAGCTCATATTATATATAATGCACATGTAAATGCACAGACATACACCGACACACGGACAGGGGGTGGAGGGGAGGGGGGGGGTCTCGTAGCCTAGAGGCTAAGGTGTTTGCTTCTCATTCAAAGGTCCCGGGTTCGAATGTGGGTAACGACGGAAACATTTTCTTCTCAAAAATTGTCTCCGTTCACTTCCTTTCCTCTGCTTTCGTCTCCACTTTCTGCCCCCACCCCCT